TTTGGTGTTCGTGTAGGTGGCTAGGGCCTGGCCAGCACCAAGGTGGCTGGAGTGGGCTCGCCTTAGGCTGGGCACCGCTATGCCCGGGTGGGGAGTGGTCTCTAGGGCCCAGACCCCGGTGCCTGCCTGGGCTCTTGAGGCACAGCCTACCCCCAGCCCCTCAGGCCTCAAGCTCACTCCAGGGCTTTCTCAGGGAAATCCAAGCCCCAGCCACTCATCCAGTCCCTCCGGTGAAGGAGGCCTCAGAGCGTGAACGGCACAGTAGTCTCCTGTTTACAGAGTCTGTGACTGGGCCTCAGTGTCCCCATCTGTAAAATGGGATGACAGGGTGATAAAGTGCAGGGCACTTTGGTGCATTCTCTCACTGAACACTCAGGCCAACCCTGGAGAGAGGTGCTGTCACTGACCTTGCGCAGACGAGGAAACTGAGGCACGGAGATGAAGGGATGCAGCAAGGGTGGAGGAGCTGGGGGAGGGACTTGGGTCTCACTGGGCTGGGTCAGCCCTGCCCTCACAGCCCCAGCTCAGTTCAGAGACTCTGAGACATCCCCCCCATAGGTGCCCCCCAGGCCCGGCCTCTCCCTTCCTGCCCTGGGGCTGACAGGAGACGGGGCAGAGCAGGGCGGGCTGCAGGCAAGGCCACACCCCACGTGGCCATGGCGGAGAGCATGGCTTTGCCTCCAGGAGCTTCGGTCCCTGCTCCTGCTAGACGGGCTTCGGGCCTCGTACTCTGAGCAGCTGGCCTCTAACGGGAGACCTTGGACAAGTTGCTAAATGACTCTGGCCTTCAGTCCCTCACCCCCAGGCCACCACTCAGCGTATCAGTCCTCCCACAACTCTCTGAGGCCGGTTCTGAGGCTCAGAGAGGTTAAGTGACTTGCCCAAAGCCACCAGCAAGCTTGTGGGCAGGATTTCTGGGAAGAGAAACCCCAGAATGGATATGCAGTGGCCAGACCCACCAGACAGTGGAGGGTGACTGGGGGAGGGGAGGGGATGGAGGGGCAGGCCCCGGGCTGGTCAGGGTCTCCTGCCCTCTGGTGGGGCACAGCTGCCCGTCTCCCCCAGGCCAAGGCCTCCTCGAGTTCCTGTAAATAATTAATTAGCCCCTGCTTGCTTGTTTGTTTAGCATGAGGAATGCTCCCCCACTGAGATGCATTTATTACTGAATAAATTTAAATATCTAATCTTTCCTTCATGAATATTACAGCACCCTAAATAGCCAACAGATCCTAAGCACCTTGGCAAATGGCCCCCACAGGAGCCTGCCTGCCTGGCTACAAGGATGCCAGGCTGCAGCCCTGCCCTCTGCCCACGCCCTTCCTGCTCCCAGCCCGGCCCAGCCCTGCCAGAGCCCGGGCCTGTGACGATGTGACGATGAAGGGGCTGGCTGAGCTGAAGGCTGAGTGTGGGGTGTGGAGGCCATGCTGTTGGCAGGAGGGCTGGTGGGCTCCCAAGCAGAGCGCTGGGCTTGTCTGGGGGGAGTGCCTGGGACCAGGCGGAGGGTCAGGGCTGGAGCAGAGAGGGCAGACGGGTCCCAGACAGCTGCAGGCTGTCCACTCTGAGGGGCCCAGGGAGGGGACTGAGGGGCCAACTGGTGTGAACTGGGGACATCCCCTCCCACCAGCAGCCCCAGGGCAGGGCCCAGAGCTTTTCCCAGCTGCCAGGTCAGGCAGGAAGCGGGGGGGACTCTCTTGGATGGAGCCAGGAGACAGCCTCCTGCAGTCTCCAGCGCTTAGCTTAGGCCAGTGGTCGGCAAACTGCGGCTCTTTGGCCCCTTGAGTGTGGCTCTTCCACAAAATACCGACTTCTGCGCATGGGTGACGAAGTTTCAATTGCACTGTATGTGCGTGCCCGCACGTGGTATTTTGTGGAAGAGCCACACTCAAGGGGCCAAAGAGCCGCATGTGGCTCGCGAGCCGCGGTTTGCCGACCACGGGCTTAGCCTAACAGAAGCCCAGGCCAGGGCCTGGGGTCCCCTCCGGCACTCAGAGGAGGGAGAACACTGGAGTGTAGAGAGGGAGGAGGTGGGGGGGGCTGGTGTGTGCTCTGCCCAGGGTGGTGCCCAGGGCCCTTCCCTCATCTCTGCTTGGAGGGAACTGCTCCCCTGGCCGCCTGCAGAGCAGTCACAGGGCCCGACCCCGTTCTGCTGGGGAGGCTCCAGCCCCGGCCTCTGCCAGCTCCAACTGCTCCTCCTCCTCCCACCTCATGCCCCCGGGTCAGCCCCAAAGGCCTGGGGAGGCTCCAGCCCCGGCCTCTGCCAGCTCCAACTCCTCCTCCTCCTCCCACCTCCTGCCCCCGGGTCAGCCCCAAAGGCCTGGCTGCAGGCCTGTCCACTTCTGCAGGAAACATTAAATCCCTGAAACACAGATCTCAGTGAGTTCCACTTCCGCAGGCCACCCCCTCCCCCAGCAGCAGGCCAAGGTCACCTGCAGGGCGGACAGCTGGGTGCCAAGTGGCTGACACTACTGGGCAGGCCTGGGATGTCCCCGGGGAGCTGGCTCAGACACATCCCTGTGCTCACCCCTGTGCCCCGGTGCCCCGCATACCCTGAGCACACGGTGCTGGACACCTGTTCCCCAACACTCTCAGGTGTGCACACCGCGCTCATGCCCAGCTTGTCACCCTGTCCTAAGAAAATACCAGCCAACCACGCATCATCTCCACTCGTGCCAGGCTCTGGCTTACCCACGCGACACAAACTAACTCACCTTATCCTCCAATAGCCCTGCCAGGTGGCTATCTACCAGTATCTCATTTGACAGATGGGGCAACCGGGGTCCAGAAAGGCAGTACCCTGCGTCGCACATCTGTGACTGCGGGATCTGTGACTGCGAGATCTGTGACTGCGGGATCTGTGACTGCGGGATCTGTGACCGCGGGGGTGGGATCCTAACCCAGCTGCCCAGCTCACAGCTCCTGCTGTTGGACACCGCGCTGGGTGGTCACGGGCACCTCCACCCAGAGCAGGCACTGCCCGGGGACCCGCACACTCCAGGCTGCGCGCGCCCCTCCCATGGGCTGCAGCGGCCCTATCCCTGCACAGTTCCAAAGCCCCCCCTCCCCAGGGTTCCCCCAACAACTTGACCCCATCCATCCCCACCTATGGGTGCTCTGGAAAATCTGCTATCAGCTCAGAGTAAAGCTGCAAAATTAAGTTTAATTGGGACCTCCCTCCCCCCGCCGAGAGGCACAGAGGGGGTGTCCAGCTGGTGTTCCTGAACCTGTGCCAGGATTCGGGGTGGGGCTGTGATGGAGGAGAAAGGGCCTCAGTATGCGCATCTCTGAAACGGAGATGGCGGTCCTGCCCTGCTGCCCGGCGTGTGAGCCCCCAGCGGCTGGTGCCCACAGAGCTCCCGGCCCCTCCCGCGTCTCCGGGGAGCTGCGGGTCCTGTTCTCCTGGCCAGGGTGCCAACTCCACCCCGAGGAGGGTCACTGTCCCGACTTCCCAGATGGAGCAGTGGACGCTCAGGGGAAAGGACTTGCCAACCTGCCCATTGGCACAGCAAGTGAGGGGGGGCCTGGGCTGGGCCTCTCCTCCCCCGCTGCGCCTCCTCTGCGCCAGCCCGAGTTGTTTACCTGAGCCCAGGCCGGGCCTCCAGAGCCCCTGGCCAGGCCCCAGAGCCGCCTTCGCTCTCCTTCTGGGTTTAACGAGCTCGGGCCCGGCCCCAATTAAGGCGGATGCGCTAACGAGGCGGCTCGTTATCGTTGAGCAGGTGCGCGCCCTCGCGCCCCGAGGGGCTGGGAGACTAGGCTCACGGCCGACTTATCTGCCACTTGTAACGAGTGGCCTCAGTTTCCTCATCTGTTAAGTGGACCCTAGAGCTTGCGCGGCCCAGGAGCCTCGCCTCGGGAGGCGGACCCGGGGGTCGGAGAACTTACCCCTGGCCCGGCGCCTGCTGCCCGACCACCGCTCAG